TGATTCTCAATCTCTGCACATTAGACTGGAGTGGAGATATGATCTGCACAACATAATGCACCTTAAGTGGCAAACTGCAACATTCAGGGTTTTCCCTCTCCTTATATTTCCCCCTCCTTATTCAGAAGATTGGTCAGAGCAAGACGTCACTCCTGTGGACCTCGTACCCAACCAGATGTAAATATGTTGCTCATTTAAAGGACTGAGAAACCCACAAAAAGCTTAAGCCAGATCTACACTACATATGTTTGTCAGCATAACTATGTAGGTCAGGGATGTGGTTTGACTGACATTGCTGTGCCAGCAAAAAGCTTTGTATACATGCAATTATACCAGTTTGTTTTGCCAGTGAAGTGGTGGAATAAGCTTTGGCAGCAAAAGCACAGTTTTGCTGGTATATACTGTCCCCCATTGGAGTGTTTTACCTATACAGCATATGAGCATAGCTACACCAGCAAAGCGTTCCCGGTGTAGACCTGGCCTTAGAGAAGAATCAAGGTTGAGGGTGGGTTTCCCTGCAGTCTAACATCCAAAACGAGATTACATTTTCTAGGGAAAAAAAAATCTAGACCTTAAAAAGGTTAGAACATCTGAACATGAACAGATCCTGTCAGTTCCTCCCTGACACGGAATCCTTCACTCACTGATTCACACACCTGATTAACACTGTCCACCCAACCTTAACGTTGCCCTCTAAAACCAGAGAGGATAAAATCCTATTTCTTACTCATGGGATCCATTTCTAATCTCCTAGAAATTTGTGTATTTCCCTCCTAGATTTTAGGCGCAGAACACCAAGGCTGGGTAACTATATAATTCAGATGTGATGAAGGACCATCTGGGGGAACAAGGTGGATCCATTAACCCTTTCCTTCAACATTTGAACTTTTTTTACATGGTGTAGAATGCAATCTTTTGCCGGGGGTTGGGGAGACGGGGGAGTCAGAATCCACTGTAACATAATTTCAACCATAATTCTATAGCAAAGTTTTTTTATTTTTTATTTGCAAGCAAGTACTACTGCACAAACACCACCATGAAATTCTCTCCCTTCTCGACAGTGATGACGAGATTAAACTCCTGGAGAAAAGGCTATTTTCTACCTTGCTCCTAAAGCACTGGCTTGCTAGCACATCTGCACATTATTACAGTGATGATTGCCATATAAGAACCAACACAGTGTCAAAAAATAGCATTGACAACAGATCTGAAAAAAAGCATAACGACTACAGGCTTTTAAAGAAGGCCCAATGGCATAATGGAAGACTGCGTGTGCACACGTAAAACTGGCAAAGCCATTACTCACAAGAGCAGTTTAAGGAATGGTCCTGCAGTCACAGGACCTTTAGCATAGCTGGAGTCACTGATGGACAATAACCTCTAGTATGAGGCAGTGTTGCAAGGTCACAATTGGGCTAATAGGAGGATAAATACAGGAAAATATGGGGATGAAATAGAATTTTTTTTAATACAAGATGATATTCTTGCAACAGAGAGGTTATGAATATTGCAATCTGTACTGCATTCCTGAAGTAAAATGGATTTCTCTTTCTACCTCCCTACCATTTCCTTTTCATTTAAATAAACGAATGCTATATTGGGTGTTGTTGTTTTTTAAACCACTGCATGTAAATGTAAACACAAAGTATTACTCAAGTTCTTACATCTAAGAACCCTCTTTGTTGTCTCTACCTGTCTTTCACAATGGCGAAACCAGAAAATAAACTTAAGAGTGAAACTTCTCAGGCAAGATTTTCGAACACTGCTTCTGAGCTACCTCCAAGTGCTTGCAATCTGTAAAGGCTCAGAACAATATAGCCATGTTAGCAATTTACCTAGATGCAGCTGTAATCAAGGATTCAGTGCTGATGAAAAATGACACTCTAAACAATTAGGCAAGTGTGACAGACATCCCATATTCAGGCATCTTTTCCGTATTCAGTGTATGGGAGGGGGGATGAATATGTGGGAGTAGTTACCTGAATAACTTTAAGAAGACTTAGAGAGGACTTAATAGCAAGATCATTCACCACCTTCAGGGTTTCAAGCACTGAATAATATTTTCCAACTTATGACTGACACAAGCTTTGAAAACGAAGCATATGGAGCAAATTAGCTTTAAATAAATTGTGTTACATTTTTAATAAACTGACAGCCTCATACTAATATCTCTTTATTTTAATGGTTGTTGAAAAATTCTCAGTTTGTATGTCTAGTGTTTCCAATACTTAATGTTTCCAATATGAAAAACTAAGTAGTAGACTCAAAGATTATTTACATCTTATGAAGGAAAATAACTGAAGAAAGAAAGTTGTCAGGCAACCCCTATGGAAAATGAAAAAAACCAGATTAAAATCTGCCAGTCAATTGACAATCTATTCAAAAATAGAAAAGGAATAGAGGGTTCAGATTCCCTTCGCTATCTTTTTTAGATAAAACTAAAGAATTATAGTAAAGACCTACACAAGGACTTAGTATTCAACTAATGCCCTGAACAAGGTGAGGGTCAGTGGTGCCAAAGGTCCTCCCAACACTCACTAGTCTGTAAATGTCAGTCTCCACTGGGTAGCACAGGTAAGTGAGCTGCTTTCATACATACACTGATGAAGTGCCCTTGTTTGGCTAAAGTACCAATTTTTTTTCCCAATGCTTCCTAATTTATGTAACTCAGGCTATGTCTACACTACAAGTACTACAGCAGCAGAGTTGCAGCATCATAGCTACACCACTGTACAATAGACACTACAGTGACGGAAGGGGTTTTTCCATCACTGTAGTAAATCCACCCCCTCAAGAGGCGGTAGCTAGACTGATGGAAGAATTCTTCCATCGACATAGCTACATCTACAGTCTAGGTTAGGTTGACCTGTGTCGCACAGCACATGAGATTTTTCACAGCCCTGAGCAATATAGCTCGGGCAATTTATGTTTTAGGTATAGACCAGGCCATAGCAACCTCTGATGGGCCTACTGATCCTAAGTGTAGATTACTATCTAAAAAATGGAAAAAAGCCACGTGCCAAATCCTCTGCAAATTCAATCTCCTACTGAGAGTTTGCAGAACTGAAACTCATTGATGGTGAGTGCTGTGATAGAGCAGTGCAATCTTACTTCGCCTTGCTCCCCCAATCCTAGGGTGAACAGGAAAAGTCTTTTGACTAATGACCCACTGGACAGTTGGTTGCTTACACTTAAATATATGATGAATAGGGTTAATAAATGAAAATCCATTCCCCAAAGATGGGGGGGGGGGGGGAGTGACACCCCTCTCAACACCCAGTGGGATAATTATCAGCCACTGGAGTCTTCAAACCAAGAGGTAAGAGTTCTGCGAAAAAGTTGTATGCAGTGGATATTTTATTACATCCCTGCAAGAGATGTTTTTGCTCTGTATATGCATTACCCTAAGAAGAGTCCATTTCAGCTCAGATTCTTCTGACCCTCTCCTCAGTGTAACTGAGCTCTAGAAAGAATGGCACCTGCAATTCTGAATAAATGTGCATCAACAATATTCCTCAGTTCCCCCATTTCTGCTCTTGCATTAAGGGTAGCAGCCCCATTTCACTACATAGTGCTGAAATTTAAAAAAAACTATCTACTCAAAAATATTACTGAGCCTACCACAGCTAATACCATGACAAGTGCTAGAAATGTTTTTCGGGGGGGGGAGGGGGGGAGAAGGGGTGGTAGAAAAAGCTCTCTCTCTTACCCCATTCCCCCTCCAGTTCTGGAATCTCCTCCTCTACTTGCAGTGCCAAATGTAGAGTGTATGTGTGCTGGAATCACACAATAGCAACGTGCTTGATTACATTTGTCTACTAAAAATCTATAGTGATAATAGCACACAATTTCACTACCTGAGGTGCCACAAAAACATTTTAAACTGCTTTTTAGAAAAGAAAATGCCACCTACAAGTAGAGCTCAAAAGCAAAACGGGAGAAGGTAGGCTTGTCAGTAAGATGACGCCGGGAGGACAGGAGTCCATGCCCAAGCAGGGAAGGGGAAAACTGACCTATAGAAAGCAACAAAAGAAGAATTTGTGGCAGCTGTGAAGGAAGGGAAGAATCTCTTCTTGTCTTTCACTTGGCACCTTTTCTACTAACATAATGGCAACCCACACTTGAAAAGAACTTGCAAGCAGTGCTAACAACCCTGTTTGTAAACTATCCCACACAAATGCTCAAAATGCTCAGCTCTCGCAGCTGCAGGCTTTCAGATTAAATTATATTGAACAAGTCAATTATTCCATTCTGCACTGCAGATTCCAATATTAGCTTTCCCTTATGAAGCAGTGCACACGGTACCAATTGAGCATCCAGTTTCTGGGCTAATGAAAGTGCATCTAGGCTAGTAAAAACAGGCCAAAACAAATCCTTGAATTCAAGTCCTGTTGTGTAATGAGGAAGTTTAATTAAGGCCACAGATTACAGCTGTAAATGTTCTCTTATATAATAAGGTCTAAATGAAACTGAACCTAATCAAAGTTACAATTCCTTCATTAGCAAATTACAAACAAGAGCACACAGCTGACACACCGGCTATGATTATCACAACTAATTGCCTCGTTGTTACAAACCAGCCTGAAACAGTGTTCAGATGTCCGTCTGCAACAGCAAATTAGGGCCACATCAGGCTATTTCTGCTATCACAAGGGGCTCTTGTACAGCGATCTGATTTACCCCTGTCGACTGGCAGCAAACGGCCCAATCAAAGCATTCGCTACAAAGGCAGGCTTTGAAGCCAGCTCAGCCTAGAAACATGCTCCATATGCAGGCCGGCAGACTGCACTTCATTAGGCCTGTTGTCACATTTTCCCTCTTCTTATTCTAATGATCCTATTTTAATACACACAGGAACCTCTCCTAATTGATGTCAAGTGAGTGACTTCCACATTCATCACCAGAGCACATCAAACAAATCTTGGCACACAGGCCCAGCATCATGGTGTTTAAGACCCGAGGTGTGTCTCTAACTATAGGAAAGCAAAAAAGCAGCATACCTGTTTAATTGGGATTGCACGGCCACTTCCAATGCTATCTGTTCTGCTCTCCAGGACTTTCTTCTCTTTGTCTGGATCACTCCCTTTCCGAGACTGCAGAGCAAAATGAAAGTTCACACTCTGTTAAACATTTCAGTTGACACAGAGGGGATGCCCTGTTGAAACCATTGTTTTGAATGTCTATTTTGAAATAAAAGAAAGATCTTAAAATGGTGCGACAATCACATCATCTTGTTTATTTTCCCCCTAAGGTATCTTCCCAATACTTTCCTCCTCCACCCACATTTGAAAAGTTGTTAAGTTTTGAAGTGCTCATATTTCCATTACTGGAAACCAAGAGGTCAGATAGGAAAATAATGCCTACCAGGAGAACACATTTCAGAAACCGCCTCTAATAGCTTCAAGGAAGAAAGAGGGTTCTAGCTTCCTACTAAGAAACCCTACTACATAAATGTAGATATTTAAGTAATGTCTGAATGGTTCAAAATGCTATTAACTACTCAGCTGTGTGGTTTTATGATGCACCCTTGATTATATCAAGTTTCATTTTTTCCCCTATTTCTTTTGAATGGTTAGGAAATAGTAACATCAAAGTCAACCTAGCGGCCGATGCTGGAAAAATCCATTCTGTTTTGGCAAAGCATAAGAGTACTGAGAAGCAAAATCTGGAATGTGGAGAGAGAGAGAGAGAGGAGTTTAAAAACAAGTCTGTAAATTGCTTTATTATTATGTTCTGTAAATGAAATATGAGCTCCACCTATTCAAGAATTGTTTTAGGGGCTGGGGATTTGCAGTGTAATTTTGTCTGGCCATTAAGTAAACACACTGAAATTGAAAAAGTACCCTAGATCCTTGTTCTTTACAGTGTGAGATGCTCAAGCACAATGATTTTCTGACAGATTTATTTTATTCTGAGAGAAGGATCTGAGAGTCATCCTCCTTAATAACTGTGCTGACAAGTGACAACTTCACTCCATTACTTTCCAATGGGAACATTACTCACATAAAATTGAAAATGGGGAAACATTTTCATGTGGGTTTCAAATCGCCAAGGATATATGAAATGAATACACTTGTGGTGTCCAGCGCCACAATGGAGAGCTAATGAAAACTAGAGTGATGCAAGATGCTGCTTTGGATTTTCAATACAGTTAAAAAGAGATGTCAGAACAGATACTGAAAATAGGGGCGTAGATTAGAATCATGTATAGAATTACACTCATTTTCCATATTAGGTTAGCCAGCCGGTGAAGGGATACAAGGAAGGAAGATCACCCAACGCACTTGCCTTGAGGGGGAAAGAGAGAAAGCAGATTCCAAGTAACAGCATTCTACTAAGCACATGAACCTAGCAGGGGACCTGTGCTTTTCCTGACTCTGTGCGAGTAGGCTCCTATCACTAGTTACTGTGGTTCAAGGTTGTGAAAGACATGCCAGGGAATTAAATAAAGAATAATTGAGAGAAAGCAAAACAAGTGGGACGGATGAGATCCAATTTCCAGGATAACTAACCATTGCTTCTCTTCCCTAAAATAGATTTCAGGAAGCTAGCCAGTCCATCCTTTAAAAGGGACATTATTAACTTGATATATTTTAAATCTATCTGATTTAAAAAAGAAAAACAGTTTCTAATGGAGCACACTTTAAGTACTATGTCCTGATTTAAAAAAAATAATCTGTAAATACAATGGTTTTTCTGCTCCCCTATACATCTTTATAAGGGTCTTTTCCGCAAGGGAGTAATTAATTGAATATAAAGGGGAAGCAGTGAAAGTGACTGTACACTAGGTGCTGTCAAATGCACAAAGTAAACATAATAGATTTTTTTTGCTAGTCTATTAGCTAGTTATAATAAATGTAGCTATTATTTTTAACTATGGTAAACACACCATTTTCAGACAAATGCAGATTGCAATTTGGAAAAGGTTCTTTAACTCATCAAATTGTGCCAATGCGGTACCGAGATCCCTAAACAGTGATGCGTCTTATATGCTGCAGTATACAGAAACAGAAGTTGACAATGCAGTGGCAGCATTCATAATGAATTCTCTCTGTTTAATAGTTCACACACTTTCCTCAGTAGTTCTACTAAAATTTCATTAAGAAAGTATAAAAATATAACACCACATAAATGATGGACCAAACACCACCTTGCACTGGCATTCTATGTGGTCCATTGGTACTTTGGATCAGACACAGCCTGGACAGAACTACAGTAGAACCCGAATATCTAAACTTAATATCCTATCACAATCAGTTATTCAGAATATTCTCTCTTTGGTGCAGGAAGTGTTTTATTATGCATGTGTACAGCACCTTCTACAATGCAGATCCAACCCTGATTGGGAAGTCTGGGTATTACCAGAATATATGGAGAAAGGGGTCTAGGTAGCACAATGGGTTACATGTACTAATCTTTAAGTGCCACTTCAGTGATGCAGAGGTATCAATTTTAATTTAGAATCACTATAAAGTCACTCTTAAAATTGTGCAGTAACATTATATAATAATGATATAACTGATAGTTAAGTTCATACGAGAAATCAGATGCTTCTACTGACATCCCATTGGCTGGAGTCTCATTCAAATCAGGTCTGTAATCAGAGAAATAGTTACTATTACTATCCAAAACCTGGCTTTGGATAGAATTTGTCATATAGGTTGAAGTACACCCTAGGCAGAAAACCTATGCATATCTTAAATCCTAATATGAGATCTACAAACTGATGAATTTCATCCACTAATAGTAAATACAAAGTACAAGACACTTGCAGAAATGCCGCATTTATTGATCTGTTATGCTGCCGACGGAAAAAATAAACACTGCAACAACTGATATAGAAAGTTGATGTATAGTGAAGATGTGAGAAGACCAGTTGCTGCATATACAATACTGTAAGGACTATTTTTTAAATTCTTCAAACCCATCCTCACTCTAAACACATAAATAGGCATGAGGTCACATGATCCATTTATCATTTAAAACCATTTGGTAGAAGGGTTCCCCACCAATGTTAACTGAAAACTATATGTGGGGGGAGGGGGAGAACATATCCTGGCTGACAACCAGTGTCAAGTTTAGTAAAATTGAAATGACTAAGATCCATCCAATTAAACCCTTGCCCCCACCAAAAAAAAAACAAACAAAAAACAGAATTTTCTTATGTTTCTTATGTTACAAAACTGCAGTAAGAACTGAATCCTTGTTCCTCACCACAGTACTAACGGAAAAGTATTTGCCATCTATTCACTCAATAATATTATTCCAAGTGGCTAGATAGTTGGCATTATTTCCAAGGCATCCGTGGTTTTACACAAAGTTATTGTAAAACACTGTAGCATGTAGTACTACATAATTAAATTACCTTCCATGTGTCACACAAGTAGATCGCTTTAAAAGGTGTCTAAAACTAAGATATTTATACAAACTTTTATGCCAATTACCTATTACTGGACAGCAATGAACTTTCAGGATTATAAGAGGTTTCCCCTCCAAAATAAAGGTTTATGCAGAGCCAATAATTAAACAAATGTTAAGTATTATTCAATATCAATAGTGTAATAGTTAATACAGAGGTTTATCAATGAAAACTAAAGGTTTTGTTTATTATGATTACAGAATATATATATTTTTCCCTATAAAACATTTAAAACTTTAAAGTACTGGTTTTTTGGCAAATAGATTTTTAGTCAGTTGGCTTATGGCAGACAGAGGCTACTTTACATGTTCTTTTATAACTCTCTCCTTGAAGATAGGAAAGGCATAAAAAACCATTTATGCATCTCTTCTGCCTATTCCAGCTTTAGGCCATCCTTGGTTTTCTATATCACCACACACATAACCATCCCCACTGTATTCTATTCATATTTAGAACAAGAGCAAGCTGGCAGGCTTTTCTAAATGGAGCTGTAACAGTTTTCAGTTGTGAGTACTTTCAAATTTATTATCCTGCATTCAGTTCCTAGGATGACACTGACATCTAGTGGAGTTTAATAATTCACAAGATCTAAATTTAAAACTCAAAACAGACCACTTTATAAAAGGTCAGAACACAATTGCTGACAAGCTTTCAGATACCGTTATTTTTTAAAATGCTTTTGTAATATCTAGATATTAATCCATTATAATTTTAACTACTTGTATGATGTTCTAGGGCTTGTCTATATAACAACTTTAAACGGATTGTGTAACAGGTTGGTACTAAACAGGATTTGTGTCCAGTATGGTTTATACTCAGTAACCATGGTAGATAACAGTGTTTTGCACTCACCAAAGGTCTAGGCTGGCACATGTGTCTTCTTATAAATAATTCAGCACACTGTTTTTCTAAAGACCCCCCTAGCTGTATGCGCAACCAGTCTGGTCCCTTCTTCCTCCCAGCCAGGGTTCACCTCCCTACACACAACTAGTGGTGCTCTGTGTATGTTCCTCAGGTACTGTGTCCCTTGATGAGGCAGTATGGGACTTTTTCCCAGAAGGCACAGACACAAACACAGTGAGGTAGGTGTGGGTGTATGAACTTGACCGACACATGGCTGTGATGAGAAAAGAATCTGTGTGTGGACACAAGTCAACTCTGTTATAACCCTGTCCGAAGAGAGTTTTAAAGCTAAGTACAAAACCACAATGGAATACTCTTAACACAACCACAATACTAAACACATTAAAATTCTTCAATTATTTACATTCCCCTAAATATTTATGCAGGAACATAAGAACTGCCATACTAGATCTGATTAATGTTCCACCTACTCCACTTTCCTGTCTCCTACAGTGGCCAATGTCAGATGCTTCAGAAGAAAATACACATAATTAGGATCTCTCCCAGAACTAAAAGAATGTGATGAAGAAACATGAATTGAGATATTGTATTTTTAAGCCAGTATGGAACAGTTTAGTTTTCTGGTACTATGTATAATTCACCTTGCAGAGACCCCAGCTGAGAATTTTCTCTCAATATATACTGAAATGCTTCCACAATTGAAATCAGTAGTTTTTTTCCTGATCAGTTGTTTTGGACCAGAGGTCCAGATTTCTCATTACTAACTCAGAAGGTGACAAAACTGGAGAATTTAGGCTTGAACAGAGAGGCCTGGGAACGAGTCATGTATCTATGATATGGAATGTTTAACCTGCTGGGGTTTTATAACATATTGCAGAAACTTCAGAATATCCTGAACAGAAGCTGTTCCACTAGTAAATGATCAGTTTCATAACAGTGAAATACCTGGACCATGTTAGGAAACTTCATCGTGTCTAAATGAGTTTTCCAACATAAAGGAAAACCTCAAAAATCTTCAGATTTTTGCCTTGAAACTAGTGGAATCTTCCTGGCACTTCTATTTAGACTAGACTAGCTTGGCTTAGCAGGATCTAAGTTTAGTCAGTAGTCAACCTTAAACAGCAACATTTTCTTCTCTGGCTCACTCACCGTGAAGAGGTTGGAGCGGCGCTTGGACTGTTTACGAACGGGTGTTGGAGTGTTGGCAGTGGGAGGAACATCAATCCGTAGCTCCTTCTGACTGGTGCTTGGAGTTGATGGAACAGAGGAGGAATAATCACTTAAGCTCCCTCCTCCATTACTGGTCTGCAATGATTAAAGTTAGTTTTAACAGTGTTATGCTGCTTTCAAGCAACCTGCAATTCACAGCTTTATCTACTTAATCCTCAAATGGAAGAATGGTGTCTTGGCTTACAAAATTAGTGATACCTATCCTAGGAGCACTTGATAGCACTGTTAAACTTTTTTTTTAAAAATGCCATTTCCATTTACATCAGAGAAAAATCAGATGTTTCTGCTGCTAAGGTAGATACATTTTTATCTTCCACAATGTGACAAATTGGGTTAAAAATTTGTTTCGGTATACTATAAAGCAATACATTTTTCAAGACCTATTAAAAATAAAAGCTTAATTTTCCTACTTCAAGTTTGGTAGACACTTGGAGCCACATTCTTAGGTTATATGCAGAAACATTCTTAGGTCTTGCTTTCAGCCAGAGAGCAGGTACAGATTTCAAGTTAAGTTTAGAGACCTCCAGAGATGCATTTTATGCTCACCCCACTCATGTTCCTACACTGCGCCTTGCATATTAAAGTCAATTCTTTCAAAAATGAACAGCAATCCCGCCAAAAAAAATTGAAATGTAAAATTTATATATAGCAAAATGTTACAGAAACCACCCAACTAAGCAGAGGCGTTTCTAAATGGAGCTGAGTGAGTGCTAATCCATGGGGATATGCCTCTTCAGACAACAAGAACTATGGGTAATTTCTTTTCTTCAAAGATAACAAATCCCATTGGATTTTCACTCTTGCAGACAAAGTCACAAAGGAGGATTTTAAAATAAAACAGAACAAAACCTAAAATAATCTGTAATCAGCAAAAAAAACCAATGAAATGCCTTGAAGTATGAAAGTAGTGAAATTTTTCTTTAAATTTTTGAGGACTAAATTATAACATAAGCAGCAATGGTAAGATTACAGTATCATCTAGAAAGTACAAAAGATGGATTCATTTCAATAGAAGAAGGACATAGTGAACAGAACTCCAGACGGATATGGAGCTTGGGGAGTGGGCTCCAACACTGATAATTTAACCCTGGATTCTTGCCTAGATTCTAAGAAAACACTTGGTAAGTGCGTGTAAGCCTGTGTGGCTACTTAATTCAGAGTCTACTAGGTAAAGCTGACTTGCCCAGAATGGAATGAGCCTTGACATGATTTTCAAGCAGCAGCCCTCCCAGACAGTAACAATGAAAAATGAAATCAGATATACTTTGAAATGATATGCTTGGTAACGTTAGAATCTAATGCATTGTCAAATGAAACAAAAAGCTGGGTGGCATTTTAAGGCCTTCTGTTTGCTCCAGATAAAGCCTAGGGACCTTTTCACATCAAGATTGTGGAATAGTAACTTGCTGGGATGAGCATGCAGGCATAAGATAAATATCTGCAAGGACAACAGGTTCATTGAAGTGAACTGCCATCACCAGCTATGCAAAGGATTTAGGACACATCTGTATGGATGGCTATTCTTCGCAGAATATAAGATATGTGTCACCGAAGTCTCATACCATAAAATGAAGTCACACATCTGGAAGATAACCTTCCACATAATAAACCTGAGCCAACAGGTATCAAGTGGCTCCAAATCCGTCTGATTAGGACTTCATTAACCACCCACTGCAGCAGGGTCATTTAAGTGTCTCACGTCCTGTACAAACCCAACAGAAAAACTGGTCTAACTTTGACATGTTCATTGCAGCCAAAAACAGTTATCAAATGAACAATGAAGAAATTTGTCTTCTACTCAGACAAATGAAGAGATTGTTCAAGAGTTTCCACAGGGGCCTTTACACACTGGAATGCTAACCTTTTCAACTTTTAATCTTCTTCTTTAGGATCCTTTCAAGAAGCCAGATGGCTCTGAAACACCTGCCCAAAGGGCTATTTATCTGGATCATTATCCTCCTCCAGGGCCATGTGGATGGGGAGAGAAATTGTCAGCTCTGCTATTGAGCAGAGTGCCCTGTTCTGAGTCACCAATTTCAGCCAGCTCCCAAAGACGATGAGTTTCCTTATTGCCATCTCTAACAAGATTGAGAACTATATCTGCCTTGGCAAACATGGGGTTAATAAGATCAACTTTTGTCTCTCCCAAGACTGGTTAGGAACTGCTGTTGCTGGAGATATTGATGGGAAGGCATACGCAGTTTTACTTCCATATTGTTGGTGCCACTAGGCATAGCTACCAGGTAACTCGGGCAAGTGGAAGGCCATAAGTGCCGATGAAACTCCCCTGCTCTGGGTCTAAGTGAGCCACAGTAACTCCATCTTGTGAACTTTAACCAGCCTCCATGCTAGCAGCCTAATGCTGAAGCAGAATATGTAAAGGTTAGCTTTTTAGCAGACAGCTGCAGTTTCGCTCGCACTAACAGAAGCAGTAGTGATAACAAGGGGGGGGGGGAAGGCCAACTATGTAGAGCTTGCAAGGTCGAAGATAAACATGCAAACGGGAACTTTTCTAACAAGCCACAATGTGTGCCTGCTGTAACTGCTCGGGATGGGAGGGGTAGGAGGGAGAAACCAGAACAAAGGCTTACACAGAAACAGCTTGGAATATAAAATGGGACACTTGCTTGTATTTGCTGCGCTTGATTTGAGACATGCTGGTCTCCTAGTGCCTATTCAGAGCTCTTGAATAAACTTGGTTTGCTTCTCCACCCTGGTGTGTCTATTGGTGCGACGCACACCGGGCAACAAACCCTGTTGCTCCCTCGGGGACCTCTGGGCCGGCAACAATATGAAGATGGCATCTCCAGTGTATGCAAGAGGTGGTCTTTTCCTGATGCCTTGAGTAGATACTAGTAGCTGTTTGTTCAGGTCAATTACATGTGATAAAAGATTTAATACACTATTAATCCCCAGTTAAGGGACCATTCACTCAGGCCCATTCCTGGCTGCTTCATCTGCATTTACACTTTCCTTCCTTGGCAGGAAAGGGGCCACCAGGAATGCCTTGTGGGACAGAGCTCACACGCACAGTGGAAAGGCTTCGGGATATATAGTGTGATATTCTCCTTTATTCACTGGAAACATGGTAACCTGATTGCATGGTTTGATCAGGCCACCAACTTTTCAGAGTAATGTACTAAGCCTCTGAAGGTCCTTGGTGAATCTAAAAATACCCTGATCTCCAGGATATTTATGAGAAGACTTTACACTTGGAGAGACCGAGTGCTCCAAGTACGATGGACCCTCTGAGTGAGCTCCTCAACTGAATAACGATTCAGTTGCTGTTTGTACAGTTCGAGTTTAAAGAATCTGGAATTCAAAACCTAACTGACTATTGTCCCTGAACTGCAACCAAATCAGAAAGGCTCATATATCAATCCACCTCCTTGATGTAATTTGACCATGTAGCTTGAGATTACCAATAACCATGATAAAGTAAGGCTGCCTCACATACAGACATGCCATGGACACTGCCAATACATCTGTGACCATCAAGCCACTCAAACTTTGTAACATGATTCTTGCCAATGCCTGCTGGTGACAAAGATAAACGCTTTTTCTCATACTGTGTTTGGGAAGAAAGGACAAATTAAGTCAAAGCTCCCAGACTCCAGTCACAGCTCCTGTATACTCCCACGTGTCTTCTGGTGACTATCTGGGAGGTCAGACAATTTACTTTGAAGCACAGTGACACCAGCATCCCAACAGTGGCTGGGTTGAACCTCGTATCCCTTCGAGATTGACGGATTATTCAAATACTACAACATATTCATTTGACATCTTGTGCAGGTAAGTTGCTATCACTAAGTACTTCATAACAAGCAATGCGGATGCCAGGCCAGAACAGTATTGGCAGCAATGTTACAATATTATGAAACTGAAACTCTCCTGTCTGAGAAGTGTGCATGTAGCTAGTTGTCCCCTCTGTAGTGTCTAGAAGAAATATGACCACCCCAGCAACACAATTGTTAATTATTTCCTAGCAGACAGTGAATGTATTCTCTAGATCTAACATAGAACAAAGTCTTCCTGGGTTTTAAGGCACCTGGAAGTATTTGGAATAATATAATAAACTTCTTTTGATAGCACGGATTTGATGATATTCTTTGCCAGGACAAATTCAGTTTCCTGCATCTTCTATTATTGAGACAATAGAGTTTGAGTATATTCTTTGGAGGGTGGGAGGGTGAGCCCATTTCCACAGATCAATTTATGTCCTTTGCCTAAAGGTTTTGTAGTTTATAAGCAAAATGTTGCCTTTGCCAACTTGGGCATCCCACTGGTCACAGTTTACAGCCTGAAAACACCACACCACAAAAGTCCAGCCAGTTTCAGCCACAGCCAGTGACTACCACACATCCAGAGTATCCTCAAGGAAAATGGGTTTTTCTCCACTGCCTCTGCAAGAACCAGGCTGCAACGAGGATGCTACCAGACCTTCAGTAACCAGCCCAAAAGACAATTTAAGGGCACTGCAAATGTATTTGACAATGGAATTTGAGTCAGACACTTACCAAGCCCAGTCCTAGACATTTTCTAGATAAACAAATTAACTCAAGTTCAATCTTCCCTCAATAAAGTCCAGGTGCCTGCTCCTCTCTCTATATCTCGCAGACAACCTTTGGGGTGTGGCAGGGCTTCTCCCTCTTATCAGGGAGTTGCTTTACCATTTCTTCCTCCAGCTGCGGGTACTGGGGGAAAGGAGAGCAGCATACATATGAAGCTCCACAAAAACCCAGACGGTCTGAAAATATCCTGGCAAAGAGACAGCTGATGTGTCCAACAAAAATGAAAAATATTTAGTCGGAGCATTTTATTAATGGGGATTAACGAAAGGCTCTATCAACTGCTACAGTGGCCAAAAACATTTTATGAACTGAATGCCATCCCTGAGCTAGGACAGCATCTGACACTGCTAATAGCAGCAAAAGAGGAAGTGACCAGCAACATGGATACCTGACTGGTTGGGGGGAAGGGAAGGGAAGAGAAAATGAGAGAGGAGCACAACTGTGGGGCCTCGAAAGGTTCAAAGTATGAGTCCAATGGCAGCTCTCGCATAATCTCACATTAGGTGGATGGACATGAGTGGGAATCCAATGAACCATACACTTTTTGAGAAGTATTTATTCTCCACCTTTCAAAATGATTAGAAAAAAAGGAAAAAGCCCAACGTTACAAAGAAGCAGTAAATACTGCAGAAACATTATGCATATTAGGATACTGTTCTTAAATATCTCTTAATTTTTAGTTTATTTTTCTCTTGCCTTTCATATCTGTATTGACGTTGAATAGTGTTGTGTTAAGCTGACAAAAGCAAGGAAACAATTAAACTTGCCTACTCCTAATGTTCCTAAATATTTCAACAGAATGGAATTTTCATTCAAAATGGCACCAAACAAGATATTACAAAAATAAATATTGCAAGACAATGTTGCACTACGTTCACAATCTATTTTAAGATCTTTCAAAATATCAAATACAGTTAGTACAAGTAAGATTATAATGTACACTTTTCAGGAAATTAAATTTAGATACTGGGGAAAGATTCACTAGCATACGAAGTATGGGATTGTTACGAGCGTTAAATGTAATGCACGTATCAAGTTTGTATACATTATAATATTGATTGCAAATTAGTAATGCATTTCAGCATAGAAGGCAGCAGTTTAATTTTTTACCTAGTACTTGCTGGCTGTCAAACAATTTACTGCAATGTAAATAATTCAGCAAACATTCACAGTAATGTCACTAAAGGTGTATGGTTTCAATTGAGCACAGGAGAGATGGGTAATAAAATTGAATGGTGGTGCCAAATTTGAGACTGAAGTGTGTTAACTGTTGAGATGTACCAACTACTGTTCAGTGTATGATTAAACCAGGGCAATGACCAAACCACTGTAAGCTAATTAAAAAAGCAGAACAGCAAATCTTGTGACTATAACAATCCCTCCACTCATACCAGCAGGCTGCAGAACATAACCAGCATGACCAAGGATTGTTTTAAAGCCAATTCCCAATAAAAATGTTTTGTCACAGCAGTTACTTAAAGCAAAGTCGAGCCAATTATGAACACACTGTTTTATACTAGAGATCACAGTAAGCTTTTAGAAAAATCTAACTGCTGACAAAGCAGCAAAAAAAGTAATGGCTCTAAATGCACTCTAACATTCCATCATTTTCTTTTCAAATGAAACATTTCATTCGGTACCTGGCTGATATGTACAGCAGAAACCTGGGCAGAACACACAGACGAGTGACTTGGAGAGTTTGGTAAAGATTTGCAGGGGCCTATTGAAAGCTGCTGTTTCTTCCTTGTTGCCACAATCTTCTGGGCAACTAAAAAACAAAAACAAAAACAAGAGATAAGCATGTAAATGATTAAGCAAAAGAGTTAGGCTGCAAGGTATCACAATTCAAACGTGCACAGAACACAGACAGGAAACAATTCTACACTACTAGTCTTCAAGGTCTGATGTCCTAAAATGGAAGGTGTTACGTCACAAAAATCTAAGCTGGCAGACAGTATTCTTTTGTTCTTCTGTGGTGTGCTCATCATTGAGTCTCTTTGCATTTATTTCAGTCAACGGATATTTGAAAGTCAGCTTCAGCCATCTAAAACATAAGGAAAACTTGAAATTCTTACCCATTTCTGATAATGGGCAGCGCTTCAATGGTTCTTATAATAAAGGAAATGTTAGAGCATGCTAGCTGCGCTAAGTATGGTTTTAGCTTGTCTAAACTTGTAAGTAAACACAGACAAAGGTAGGGTGTAAATTTGAAGTGTAATAGCTGTTCCTGAATAACTCCATGAGTGTGCACTCTTACTCTGAAACCAGAGTGCCCTACTCCATTCTGCTAAACACAAACAAGGCACTCTTGTTCCGTAATAAGAGCGTCCACACATGGAGTTATTAGGAACAATTACATAGGAACCCATCACGTGGAGATAAACGCTTAAAGAATCCTGGTAAAAACACCTTTGTCGTGCCTTTACTAACACACTGGTGCAGGGTTACTAATTGAGAACGGTTATGGAAATTTCTACTATATGTGCAACCCTAAACAGCATAGAATTCTTGAAAATTCACTGTTAATACTTGAAAACCTGAGATGCTCACTGCATAAACATTAATATTTATATAATGAACACAGCATCACTCCTGTTTATTAAACCAGTTTTAAAACAGGGCTACCATATACCACTAACTTTGTCATGTTCATTTTTATAATTTCACCTTTTCCTGTTTATTTCCTATAGTAACTAAAATATTTCATTTGAAAGAGGGGATTAAAGGGTAATTTGTTACAGAACATAGCTACAGAAACAGTGCTCCATAATGAACTATATGTTGTGAAGAGGTTAATATTTCCTCCTATATGGGGAGGGGAAGCGAAGAATGGGGAGTGAATCGGAGTAAAGTGAAAACACAGTTATGGACGAATCTCAGACTAAAACTGTTGTAGAATGATACTTTATTTCATTTACCCCTATTTATTCTGTTTCTCAGCTGGAATTAAGGAAAGGAAAAGGAGAAACCACCATTGCCCTGATTTTCATAGGTGCAAAAAATCTGGAGCTCCTATGAATGTGAATGAAACGTGTGGATCAAGAATCAGGCCATGTTGGCCAGTCAGCTTCCTGAAAACCACCACCAGTGGCTAGGAACCAAAATTTTGGAACCCCTGCATTACTATATTTAATAAATATTCATTTTAAACTATTACAAAAGGTTAGTCAGTGGGAATGATCACTAGCTACTGTGTCAAAATGGGAGGAAGGGCGGAAGGAGAGTGAGAAAGAGACTTAGAACTTCCAAAACACCCCAATGAGGTCAGTCACATAAGGAGCAGTTACTTACCATGTACCATAACTGAGTTCTTCAAGATGTGTGGTCTGTATTCAACTGTGGGTGCACATGCGCTCCATGCACCTGAGACCAGAAGACTTTTTGCTAGCAATGTCCGTTACTCTATGCCTGCACCCTTCTTCTCCTCGTGTGCCACTCCAGTTCCTTCTCTACAATGAACTGAATCTAAGATCCAAAGCAGATGGGAAGAGGTATTGGAATATATATATAGCGACCACAAATTTTGAAGAACTCCAGCTAATGTACAAGGTAAGTAACTTCGCTTTCTTCTTCAAGCGAATGCAACTGACAATAGGAACAACTTGCAGCAAAGCTACTGAGGCGGCCTGGCCTTTAGCAGAGCGAGCTTTCACATGTTGCAGCAGAGGAGCGTTTGTCAACTCATAACAGTAGAATGTACCTCGACATCCACTTATAAAGCCTGTGGGAGGGGATTGCTTCCCGTCTCATCCATTCTGAGAATGATACAAATAGTCTAGATGAGTTTTTAAATAGTTTTGTTCTTTGTAGGTAGAACGGCATGGCTAAATGTATGCCCAAGGAGTGAACCCTTCTGTCTCCACTAACGGCATGAGGTTAGGTAGGTTGACTGACTGATTCACATAGAAATCCAAGATCACTTCACATGAGAAAACTTAGGATGTAGCCTCAGAGCCATTTTATCCATGTGAAAGACTGCATATATAGTGAGCTCCCTGTTAATCCAGCCTTCTAGCTGAGGTGATGGCCACTAGAATGGTGACTTTCATGGATGAGTGGGATAAGGAGCATGAAGACAACAGTTCCAACGGAGGTCTTGTGAGTGCTGAGAGGACCAAACTGAAATCCCATGTCAGAATGGGCCTACTCACAGGTGTAAAAGTTCTAACCAGGCCTTTCAAAAAAGGTACTGTCACAGGAAGGTAAAAACAGGAGTAGTCAGAGGATGACAGGGGTTTATAGCTGCCAAGTGAACCTGAGATGAGCTAATTGAGAGACCCAAGGTCTTTAAGAATAAAAGACACTCCAAAATAATAGGGATGTCAGAGTCCTCAGGAACTGACGATTGTGAACAGATTGAATAAAGTTACACGGCCAAGTGAAAGTATTTCCTAGTAGATTCTTTTCTACTATTGTCTTTAAAGTGCTTCCGAGCACGTATTTTCTAGGTTTGATGTCCATCCAAAAAAAAAACAGGTTGTCACGTGGAGGGATGCTGGACTGGGATGGTTGATTCTGTCCGTCCTGGGTATGCACTAGAATCTTCCTTGGCCCTGATAGAGTCCACAGTCCCCCCCCTACAAATTCTATAGGCTGGATTGGAATCAAAATGGACTTCTCTGTATTTATGCATAATCCCTGTGATTGTAGAAGGTTCGTCAGGGACACAGTTGATGCTAAAGCCTCCTGGTAAAATTTCCTCATCAACAGCCATTTATTGAGGTAGGGGAAAACTTACGACCCGTGGCATTGGCATTGGAAGTGAGCTGCCACTACCAATAGTATCTTAGTAAATAATCTTGGTGATCTCACACCACCAAAGGAGAGTGTCCTGTAGTGGTAGCAGCTCCTGCACATTGTGAGCCTCAGGAAAAAACAGTTACCTACCTTTTGTAACTGTTGCTCTTCAAGATGTGTTGCTCATGTCCATTCCATGTTAGGTATGCATGTGTCGTGTGCACCGCGGCTGAAGATTTTCCCCCTAGTGGTATCCGTAGAGCCAGTTCAGGCGCTCTCTGGAGTGCCACGCTCATGCTCCGGTATATGAGGTGCTGCCGGCCCTGCACCTTCTCAGTTCCTGCTTGCCATCAACTCTGATGGCGGGGACAGAGGGCAGGTCATGGAATGGACATGAGCAACACATCTTGAAGAACAGTTACAAAAGGTAGGTAACTGTTTTTTCTTCCTCAAGTGCTTGCTCATGTTGATTCCACGTTAGGTGACTTACAAGCTGTATCCCTAGAGGTGGGCTTGGAGTTCATGGACATGCAGCTTGTAACACAGATCTGCTGAAGCTGGCATCATCTCTGGCCTGTGGGATGATGGCGTAGTGCAATTCAAATGTATGCACTGACAACCAACTCGCGGCTCTGTAGATGTCCTGTATCAGAGTACGGCCACTGCGGATGCCTGCGCACTTGGTGAATGAGCTTTCACAACGGCCAGAGGCAGGATCCCTCCTTGCTCTTAGCAGGCTTGGATATAGTCCGTGATCCAGGAAGAGATCCTTTGAGCAGACACTAGAAGGCCCTTCATCCTGTCCGCTATCACAACAGAAAGCTGTGTTGATTTGTGAAAGGGTCTTGTCCTGTTAATATAAAAGGCTAGGGCCCTTCTTACATCCAGAGAATGCAGACATCGTTCCTCTTCTGACTTGCGCGGTTTTGGGCAGATGACTGGTAGAAAGATAACCTGGTTGAAACTGCGACACCACCTTGGGCAAAAAAGCTGGGTGGGGACACAGCCTGACCTCGTCCTTGAAGAAGGTGGTATAAGGAGGTTCAGAGGTTAAAGCCTGAAGCTCAGAACCCTTCTTGCTGAAGTGATCACCACCAGGAAAGCAATCTCCAGAAGAGTAGCAGAACAGCCATGATGTCAAAGGCTTGAAGGGTAGCCCAGAGAGACTAAACAGAACGAGGCTCAAGTCTAAAGTTGGGATGGGTCACAAATCTGCGGAGAGAATCTTTCCAGCCCTTTGATGAATCTGCCTGTCATTTCCTGTGCGAAGACTGACCTGCCATGCTTTGGGGGATGGAACGCTGAAATTGCTGCCAAGTGGATGGACCTTTCTAAAGGACAGTGATAGGCCTTGGAGCTTTAGATGGAGGAGGAGCTCCAGGACGGACTGCAACAATGCCTGTGTCAGAGAAAGGCTTCGCTTGACTGTACATCACGAGAAGTGTTTCCATTTGGCCAGGTAGGTTGCCCTGGTAGAGGGTTTTCTACTAACTAGCAAGACCTACTGCACATGCTCAGAGCACACCCTCTCCTCCGGATTCAACTACACAACAGCCATGCTGTCAGATATAGGCCTGCGGGGTTCAGATGGATGAGCCTCCCTTGATCCTGCGAGATCAAGTCTGGTCTGAGGGGAAGAGTCCACGGAGCTGTGACTGCTAGGTCTGGGAGCATGCTGAACCAATGGTGGTGAGGCCACGCGGGAGCAATCAGGATGACCTTTGCGTTGTCCGCTTTTATTTTCAGGAGAACCCTGTGAATTGGCGGAAAAGTGTACAGCAGGCCGTCCAACCATGGACGGAGGAAGGCATCTGATAGAGCGCCCTTGCACTGGTCAAGTCTCGCGCAAAAGAGGCGACATTTCTTGTTCTCTGCAGTGGCCAACAGATCCACCTAGGTAGTCCCCCTCCTATGGAAGATGGCACTGATTACCTTTCGGTGGAGAGACCCCCTTGTGGTGAGAAAAGCTAGCACATTCCGTTCCCCCAGCAGGTGCGTGGTCTCTATGTCGATGGAATGTTTCACGCAGAA